CTGCTAAGACAAAGAGCTGTGACAGTAACTGCTGTTGATTCTGGTTATTTATGCAAATAGTGGCTAAGTTCATTTAGGAATTATGATTTCAAATTGTAGTACATAATACAATCAAATGCCCAGAATTAGGAAGGGAAAAAAAAAGTCAGTGGGGGAAGCAGAGATGAAGTAGTAACCATAAGGAAACTACACTGATATAGGTTAACAATATCACTTCTCTCAATGCATAAAGAATAATGAAATAATGGACTGTATTCTGAAAACTAAAAATACTGTGAACAGTTGATAGAATCCTAAAGAACAGATGATATTTTCTCTACTTTTATAATGAAAAACAGACTTATTAAGTTACTTTTTATTTGTCTTTTTGCTTTATCGAATCTTTGAGAGAAATCAGGGGCAGGCATCTTACCACTGACCTGTATGAGTCAAGATAAGAATTCTCTGTTGAGGTCTAGCTTTGGGGGCTGTAATTATCACAGTCCCAAGGCAGATTCCGAAGTGTTGCATAATTATTGCAACAATTAGCCTTTAAAAAGTAAGGAAATTGGGTCTAAGTATGAACATTTGTATTTTAGTCCTTCTTTCCTCCAGGAATGAAGAAAGCCCTGGGACACTTGATTTTCACCCTTTTCTAACAACCTTTAGCTAGGATTTTTCCAGTAGTCATGTATGGGTGTGAGATTTGGACTATAAACAAAGCTGAGTGCCAAAGAATTAATGCTTTGAAACTATGGTTTGGAGAAGACTCTTGAGAGTCCCTTGGACTTCGAGGAGATCCGACCAGTCAATCCCAAAGGAAATCAGTCCTGAATGTTCGTTGGAAGGACTGATGCTGAAGCTGAAACTCCAATACTTTGGCCATCTGATGAGAAGAACTGACATTTGAAAAGTCCCTGATGCTGGGAAAGATTGAAGGCAGGAGGAGAAGGAGACAGCAGAGGATGAGATGGTTGGATGGCCTCACTGACTTAATGGACATGAGTTTGAGCAAGGTCCAGGAGTTGGTCATGAACATGGAGGCCTGGCGTGCTGTGGTCCATGGAGTCACAAAGAGTCGGACACGACTGAGAGACTGAACTGAACTGATTAATTGTTTTTGATTAACTGCCATTAAAAAATTATTTACTTTAGAAAAGAAAGGGTTTGCCCTGAACAAATTTACACATAAGTCTTGTAGATAAGAAATATCTTTGGTTTTACTGAATTTAAATATTCATCTGTATAAATGGTTTCTAGCCTGGGAATGATTCCCTTGCTCCCAAATGCTTTGTCTTCAGTATTTGAAATCTGCAAAAAACAGTAATTCTATGATCCATCAAAATTTGAACATTGAGTTTTGATTATTCAAACATGGAGCGTTGTGTGTGTATATATGTGTGTGTGTGTATTTGTGGTGGGAATGGGGCTGTGCAGTTCACTTTGAATGTAAATTATATCCCGGGGACTTCCCTGGAAGTCCAGTGGTTAAGACCCCCAGCTCTCAATGCAGGGGATATAGGCTCGATCTCTAGGCAGGGAATTAAGATCCCACATGCCCCACAGTGTGGCAAAACAACAACCACAAAAAAAAAGATGTCCATGGTATATTCTTAAGTTAAAAAGAAAAAAGTAAATTATGTCCTGGGTGGAGCTATGAGATTTATAGGAAGAGGGGCTCTTGTTTAGTTCAACTCATAATTCCAAGTCAAGGTGACTCATTCGGGCATCTGAAGGTCAGTGTACCCCTGGAAGGAGACTGACTCCTCCCTGGCTATTTTTCTACAAGTTAGGATGTGAAAACTCTAAATTTCTTCTTAAATGTCTCTTAGTACTTGTCACTTTTGAAGTCATGAAAGTGAAAGCTGAATTTTAAGCATAAAGGAAAAAGCATCTTATACAGTGAGAAAAAACTGGCACAAGAAATTCTCAGAAAGAACTTAGTGAATTTTTATAAATCCTTTGAAGTTATTCTCGAATGACTGAATTCATTGTCCAAAGACTCAAAGTAAGAAGTTGGAATTTCCCACTCTTTGCCACACTCCTGGATCCCAGGCATAGTTTTCAAAATAAATGGAAATAGCCAGGCCCCAGCGCCAGAACGAGGCTGAGGTTTTATATAGTTTCTCCCTCATGAAGTACAATTTTAGCTGTTTTTGTTTTGAACAAAATTCTCTTGGTTAGTCCAGTTGGTTAAAGCTGATGCTAGCTAACTTGAATAAGTGCCAGATGTCGAGAGGGAGACAAGCTTAGTCTCTCTCTGTGTTGGGGGTAGACTCTTGTTGATCACTGCCTACCCTCCTCTGCCTCCTCAGCCTGGCTGACAAAGCTCCTTTTTGTTGATGTGCTTGCCCTCTTGGTTATGAGCACAGGGTTTAAAATGATCTACCCCCTAAGGCAGGTGGGGGTGGAGGTCATGGGGAGAATTCTCATCAGTCTCTAGGAGCAAGAATCCGCCTGCCAATGCAGGAGAAGCAGGAGATGCAGTTTCGATCCTTGGGTTGGAAAGATTCCTTGGAAGAGGAAATGGCAACCCACTCTAATATTCTTGACCAGATAATCCCATGGACAGAGGAGCCTGGCAGACTACAGTCCATGGGGTCGCAGAGTTGGACAGAAGTGAAGCGACCAAGCATGCATGCACCAGGACCTATACCAGCCACCTTTTTTTTTTTTCACACAATCCCCACTAGATCTTTCCTTTCATTCTGCAAGGCCAGACATGTCCCGATGATGAACATCGGGCAGGGAACACTTAAGGAAAATCCCTTCACCGTCATGTTCCGGCTGGAAAACCCCACATGAAACAATAAAGGAGACACAAACCTGGGGAGAGGAAACCAGGGAACGAGATGCAAAGCCAGAAGAGTCAGAACAAAGCTCTGGCCACTTTTATTTCCAGTGTCTTTATGTCTTTATAGCTGTGAGTCTAAGGGCCCAGCTAGAATCTTCTCCATCGAAGAAAGTATTCAGAGGAAACTGACTTGATTCTTTATCTCTGAGAAACTCCCGTAGCTGCTAATCCCTTTGCTGCTGTGCTGTCGGACTCTTCGTGGCCCAATGGACTGTAGCCCACCAGGCTCCTCTGTCCATGAGATTTTTCAGGCAAGAATACTGGAGTGGGTTGCCATTTCCTCCTCCAGGGGATCTCCCCAGCCCAGGGATTGAACCCAAGTTTCCTTTGTCTCCTGCATTGGCAGCCAGATTCTTTACCACTGAGCCACCTTGAGAAGCGCCCAGTAGCTTTTAAAAGAATTTTGTTCGAGCAACTTACATATGCTTGAATATCTTTATGATTTCTTTCAATGGTCTGAATAGAAATGTATTGTTATGACCAATACCACATAAATATATGTCTCCCAATAATTTTATACACATACACACAGTTTTCTGCTTATAACTTCTGCTCCATCTCCTTGCCCTAAACCTTATAAGAAACTCATTCATTTATAACTCTTCCTGGCTGTATAGATTGGTCATAAATTTCCTTCCTGACCAACCTAGACAGAGTATTTAAAAACAGAGACATTACTTTGTCAACAAAGGTCCATCTAGTCAAGGCTATGGTTTTTCCAGTGGTCATGTATGGATGTGAGAGCTGGACTATAAAGAATGCTGAGCACAGAAGAATTGATGCTTTTGAACTGTGGTGTTGAAGAAGACTCTTGAGAGTCCCTTGGACTGCAAGAAGATCCAACCAGTCCATCCTAAAGATCAGTCCTGGGTGTTCATTGGAAGGACTGATGTTGAAGCTGAAACTCCAGTACTTTGGCTACCTGATGCGAAGAGCTGACTCATTTGAAAAGACCCTAATGCTGGAAAAGATTGAGGGCAGGAGGAGAAGGGGACGACGGAGGATGGAATGGTTGGATGGTATCACTGACTCGATGGACATGGGTTTGGGCGGACTCCAGGAGCTGGTGATGGACAGGGAGGCCTGGCGTGCTGCGGTTCATGGGGTCGCAAAGAGTCGGACACGACTGAGTGACTGAACTGAACTGAACTGAACTGGCTGTATAAAGTTTTAAAAGTAGTCTCAGCAGTTATTTTCCTAGCTAAAAAGAGGTTGTTTGGCAATGGTATTGAGAGAGGAAAGGTGGCCAGCAGAGAATACTACAATGCCAGAAATGGAAGACCAGGAACCAGCAGGGACTCACAGAGAAAGATTTGCGTCCCCAGTCTCTTGCCCAAGAGACAGCGAGTCTTCTGCCCTTTAGATATAAAGATACTTTCATGCTCTGCCTATGAAGAAACAAGACACGATGTAAGAGGAGAAAAACTGGTCTGGAGAGTATTTTTCAGGCGCGGGATTGCCTCCTGGCACAAACATCGCCTAGTCAATTTTCTCACAAACCCAGGGAGAAAGCGGCATGAACAGGGATGGGTGTTTGGAGCGGTGGGGTGGGGCCAGGAGGGGAGGAGACAGGTCCCCGCCCTCCCAGGAGGCGGGAGGGAGAGGAAAAACCTTGGCCAGAGACCTAAGGCTCCGTCCCTTCCCTCGTCGCCTGCCCCCTCCCTCGGCGGTCGCCAGTCCCCACCAGCGCTGGCCAAGGCCGCGGGCGGCGGTGGGTTTCCTGCGCTTCGGGACGGCGGGAGAAGAGCAATCCTTGTGTCCCGGGGGACAGAACACGGTCATCCGCGCAGAGGACCATCCCTGGCAGCAGACCCTCGCCAGTCCTCCTGGTGTCCACACCCCGGCGCCCGCGTCGTCTGCGCGCCCACATTCGCTCCGTCGCGCGCAGCTCCCACGCCCCTGGCTGCTGCCTGCCGGGCGCCGGATCCGCCTCCCCGGTTGGACCGAGAGGGTCGTCGGCGGCGTCTTTAAGGCTGGGTCCCCGCCCCTGCCTCCTCCCCGCTCTCCCCCGCCCGTGCTCCTCCAGACCTCCCCGGAGCGGGCGGCGGCGAGGAGCAGGTGCCGGCGAAGCCCTCGCATGCCGCTGCCCGGCCCGAGGTGGTAGCGGCGCCTGGCGCTCCGCCTGTCCTCCTCCGGGCCGCACTCCGGCTCCTACGCGCGCGGGGACATGTCGGTGGCGACGGGCAGCAGCGAGGCGGCCGGCGGGGCCGGGGGCGGCGGCGCGCGGGTTTTTTTCCAGAGTCCCCGGAGCGGCGCCGGCGGCAGCCCGGGCTCGAGCAGCGGCTCGGGCTCCTCCCGGGAGGACTCGGCGCCCGTGGCCACCGCGGCTGCCGCCGGGCACGTTCAGCAGCAGCAGCAGCAACAGCGGCGCCACCAGCAGGGAAAAGTGACGGTAAAATACGACCGCAAGGAGCTTCGGAAACGGCTCGTGCTAGAGGAGTGGATCGTGGAGCAGCTGGGACAGCTGTATGGCTGCGAGGTACCTGGGCGCGGGGCCGGCAGTGTCGGGGTGGGGGCCCTCGCGCACCAGGTTGTGCCAACACAGGAATTCTCCAGGGCTCCGACTCTCGGCTGCGCGCCGCCCTGGTTCCTGGGGACCCAGGGCTGGGAGCGAGACGCGGCGCGTTCTCTCCCCAGGGTGCCCTCTGGTGCCAGGGCGCATCCTGCTTGGGTTCGGCTGCCGGGTGTCCGGAGAGCTGGGGGGCCCCATGATGGTCGTGGGGAGGGTCGGGTCTTGCTCAGCGCACTGCCTTTCTCCCAACCCTGGGCTCTCCTCGGCTTCGGCTGCAGCTTCCCCAGACTGGGGCTCGGAGAGGCTCACCCAGCTGCGCGCAAGAACAGGACTCCCTGCCCTGGGGGTCCTGGCAACCCCGAGTTTTGTGGAGAGGGAGCAGGGAAGAGACCGAAAGCCACTTCACCGAGAGGAGAGGTTCTGGGGATCCCAGAGGCCCCTTGCGTTCTTGAAATAACATCACAAAACCATAAGCTGAACGCCTTCCCTGTTCCAGCCAGCCCCGACGCTTGTCCCCACGATTTGTCCTTGCCTTACCAAAGCTGCACGCGTTGGGCTTTGTTGAAGCAGGTCTCTTTCTTTCTGCCCAGTTTGAGTTACTCGCCTTGATGGACGCAGAATGAGAGCCTTGGGCAACCTGGAAGGGCGCTGGGTGGAGGAAGGGAGCCTGCGGGTGAGCTGGGAATTCCCCAGCTCCCCCTCCGCCGAGACATTTACTTTCCACAGTTCAGGGGCTAAGCCTGTAGCAAGTCTGCCGCGTAAGGAGAAACGGTTGGTGTGTTTTTGGAGAAATATTAAGAAGAAACTGTAACAAAACTGTGATTACCGAAAAATGACCGAAGCTAAAATGCTCAGGAGAGTCTTTTTAATGGCAGTAGTTGGTAAATGAAGTATTCTACTTCTCTTAAGGGAGTGGAGTTTGGAAAGGGTGGAAGGATGAAGAGGGTTAATAATTAAGGATATGGCTTCTGAGTTAAAGCTGGGTTTGCTTTCATCCGGCTGTTACCCTCTTCAGCAGAAATGAAAGCCAGATGAACCCACTGGCTTTTCCTCTGGTTTGAATTTCACACATTTTATGGCCTATTGTGAATACGTATTTTCCTTAATATTCTCATCGCGCGAGGAAACAGCATTCTCATTACGGACTCCTGATGAATGATTATGATATAATGAAGCTTGACTATATGACTAATGGGCTTGTAAAAATATATTGTTCCTCCAGCCCAGCTCTTATAAAAGCATTTTAATTGCGTAAATAAAAACTGGCCCAAAACGAAAGTGTTTATGGTGTTTTTTAAGTAGGAAGTTGGCAGAACTCTTTAAAGAAACAATATATTTGATTTCAATGGGGTTACTGTGGGGGTGGATGGAAGACTCAGTCTTGCCTATGTAGAATCCAGTTAGTTTTCATTTATTTCATACTAGTCTTTATGCTCCATTTTGGGTTTAGAGAAGATTTGGGTTAATAGAGAAACTACTGTTGAAATTAACTATGCTTTAGTAATGCTCCTTTTATGGCAGACCAATTACATGTAGCTTGGGAAAGAGTTCCAGCCTCTTAGCAAGGTTGGTAAATCATGTATTTTCAAAAATCTTCAGAGTAACTGGTTAAAAAAAAATGGAAGATTGAATGCTCATTGTATTAAACATGTAGATTAGGTACCTATTTTAAGGGGTAAATATGACCTTGCAGCTTTTCCTTGTGCTTCTCATATTGCAGACCTCCACATATAGCAAACAGCCTAAGATCTGAGAGGTTTTGTGGTAAAATGACACAGGATGCTATATGCTGCTAGCTTGTTATTAAAATGTGTCAGGTATTTCTAGATTCGAGTTGCTTGTTCTGTCATGTTAGGTTGAAGAGCTATAAGTCATGTTGGCAATTTATAAATACTATGCTGATGCTACACCTTCACTGAATAATAAAAAGCCTGTGGACTAATAAGTAGCCATATAAAGGACTGTCTTCTTCCATCTCTTTCTCCACTAGTAGGGCTCTATTTTTAGCTTCAGCTCTCTGGTCTGGTAGCCTTTCCTTGCTGATAGTTTAAAGTATTTCAGCCTCTGGTGTGTAAATTGAGAAGGACCTAGCTGGTTTGTAGCTCTGACTCTCCTGAATATGAAGGTTAGGAAATGTCCAAATGGTGTGTGTGTGGAATTGACATGGAAAGCCAACTTGCCAGACTTCAGCTCAGCCAGAGGCTTGAGCTGTCTGCCAGGTTGGGTGCATTCTAGATGAACACATATGTAATTTCAGAAAAACTTGCATCAGGAAGGTCAGCAGTTAGGTGACCTGTCCTTTTCAGAATAGGAAATAGTGGTCTTTTAGAGTGCCATAAAGTGTGATATTTTAAATTAGAAAGGAGTCGGGGGTGGGAAAGAAATACACAGAATAACTTCCTGGCTGTGGTTTTATCTAGAAGTTTGCAGTGGCCAATCAGTTTTGTATAGAGAATAACACAAAGAGAATTTATGGAGTACTTGTATTAGGTCCCAGGTGTTGTTTAGGCCCTTTGTGTACACTGATTCGTTAGTCTTTACAACAACCCATATGGACAGGGTGCTGTTATCCTCTCTGTTTTATAGACAAGGAAACTGGGAGACACAGCAGAACACAGGCACAGGCTTTCCCAAGCTCCATAGCCGCTGGATGGTACTGGGTAGATGGCATGGACTCTGAGTCCATGTTCTAACCCCCAAGCCTGCTTCTAACTCTGCAGGGTCCTGTGTAGGAGAACAGATGGAGGCCCACAGCATGTGTCTGAATATTTAAAAGTCATGAATCAAGCTATTGAGTGTTTCTTTAAAATGTGATTCCTCCTACCTTGACAACTGTATCTTCATAATGACCCAGAAAGCAAGGTCTGAACCATGAATTCCCAGATCTCCCAGAGCTCAGAACTGATCAAAAGAAGCTTTCCCTGGCCCAGGGCCTGCTTCCTTTGGCTTTTCACCTGTGATACCATCCTACCTGGTGAAGGGCATTGTATCCACTTGCCCGTCCAGTCTGTCCACACCCTCTGCCATCCCCTAACCATGCCTCTGGCTTCAACCAAGGACCTGGAAGGATCTGGTTCATGCCTTGGAAGTGTCTGCGTATTTAATCAGGGGATGCTGGGGACTTGAAGTGTAGCCTAAAACCAGATAGAGGCTTACCGGTCCTGGATGGGTAAATCCACCTGGTACTCTGCAGGAAAATGCCTGTGGCAGGAGTGGCCCAGGGCTGTGACCCCTCTTACACAGTCTAAGCATAGTATCGTTAAACAGCATAGCCTTTTGGATATAAACATAAACGTCTTTATAGATTCTAAAATGGTTATGTTTATAGTTATTTTCCACTTCGTCTACTTGTACAGGTAGTTACATTTTCACCTAGGAATTTGATTATCCTGGAACTGAGAGGTTAACTCTATATCAACATGTAAGGATTTCTGTTTTAAGATATTTTCATATCTCTCCCGAACCCTGATGGTTTTAAAGAGCATTTGATATCTGGCATAATGTCTACTTTGACAAGTATTGCAAGAGGACTTACTGGATAAGTCATGTCAATTTTTTTCATCTTGCTCAGGATCAAGATAACATCAGTACTTCCAGTTTTGCAATTTGATTTGCTTTGGAAATAAAAGCCTGTTGTTAATCTCGGATTACTGAAACCCTCGCAGCAGCCTAGGCGTAAACAGACTTGGACACGGAGGGCATCCCCTGGTGATCCTGACTGTCCATTCAGAAGGACTTTCCTTTTCCAGCATCAGTCGGCATTTTTTAAAAATTTATTTATTTTTTTAATTGAAGGATAATGGCTTTACAGAATTTTGTTGTTTTCTGTCAAACCTCAACATGATGTCTGCATTTTAAAAAGTGGTTTCTGGTACATTACACTTTTTCACCTTCCCTTTCTCCCTACCATCTTCATTCTATAAATCAGTGGTTCTCAAAATATTTTGATTGTGGCCCTTGAAAGAAATTCCCTTGCTTCCTGATACCTACACTGACACATGGATGGATGCAGGGATTCACAAAGACCAGTTAATGTTACCATGTAAGCAAAAGAAAAATCACCAAGTTAATATAAAATGCATGCATGTATGCATGCCAAGTCGCTTCCGTCGTGTCTGACTCTTTGTGACCCCATGGACTGTAGCCTGCCAGGCTCCTCTGTCCATGGGATTCTCCAAGCAAGAGTACTAGACTGGGTTGCCGTGTCCTCTTCCAGGGGATCTACCTGGCCTAGGAATCGAACCAACATCTCTTAAGTCTCTTGCATTGGCAGGCAGGTTCTTTACCACTAGCACCATCTGGGAAGCCCCTAATATAAAATTTGACTTTATTAATATTTAAATACAATATTCTGTTCTATTTAATTTACCAGAATTCCTGGCTCTGAGCCTCTAAAATGATTTCATCACACATTTGTGGGTTGTGACCTGCATTAAAAAGGTACTGCTCCAGAAAAGGAAACACTTAACATATTTAAGAGACAGAGCTAAAATTTATTAAGTACTTTCTGTATCAGGTATGGTTCATGTAATCCTAGTAACAACCTTTGATAGTCCCATTTTGTGGATGTGGAAACTGAGGCTCAGAGAGGTCTACAAGCTGCCTGAGGCCCCTCAGCTGGAACACGAGAGCAGGGCTGTGTCCAGAAAGCCAGACGTCACCCTACCCACTGCTTCCTGAGACGGGACAGTACCTGGCACTCTCTGTGAACCCCCGTAGGTTGCCTGCTCCCGGATGCAGCTGCGGTAACTTCTGGGTTGACTGATGTCGCATGCAGAGGGACACAGGTGTCTGTGGGTTTGTTCCTGGATCAGGCCTCTTCTTTTCAGTTCAGGTCCTTACTTTGTTCTCAACTCCCACTCTACAACATCAAGTTAGCTTGCTTTGCTGGAAGGTAGAAACTGCTGTCTAGAAGATGGTTTGCAGATAATGTGGTGAATCCCCATTTATGTAGCTATTTGAGAATG